TAATATATAGATTTATTTATTTATATATTATTATAAAATATATGTGTATATTTTAAGTAATCTCTTAACAAAAAAGTTTCTCTTCAGAATAATATATCTCAATAAAAGAAATCTAAAATAGCTTATTATTAATACTTACTATCATTAACAGAAACGCGGCAAATACACCAAACATAAAAGCTGCTGATACTTGATAAAAATATTGTATAATTATTACAAACTCATAAATGGGCGATTTATTAGTATCAAAAGGTAAATCCATTTTTAATAATAATTCTCGAGATTTAGTTACATTAACTTCTTGATGCAAAAAAATACCAATTGCATAACAAATAGTAGATGCTACACAAGTACACATTATAATACTCGTCAAACGATAAGATAAATAAGCTGTCTTCGATATTAAATTATCCGTATCCATTATTGCATATTTTTGACATTCTTCTTCCATAGATAATAGAATACTTCGAATCAAACTGTGAAATATTGTATTTCGAATACAATTTTTTTAATGATATGTATAATATATTATTTATTATTGTATTATCTATTTTAAATCATTATAAATAATAACTTTAATTCAATCTAAATTTATATATTATATCAATTTCCAATAATTATCTAGTTTAATAACTCTTTCTAATTTTATCATACTTCAATTTTGATAATTTATTATAAATTATTATTAATAATAAAAATAATTTGTATAAACAATATATGATAAATAATTCAATCAACTTTATAGATTTCATTTTAGTTGATACATAATCTTATAATTAATACAAATTCACCAATCTATTACAATAGTTTATATAAAGAAAGTATAAAATATAAAAATTTAATTTTTTGCAAACAAAAAAAATATTATTATTATTAATTTATTTCGACGAATTTCAGGCATCAAAACTTAATAAATAAAAATAAGTAATCTGAATTTTAAAAATTTCAAAAATTTCATAAATATAAAAATTAGATTTCAATTTTTAATTTTATATATACAAGTATTTATTTCATTGAATAATCAAAATAAAAAACTTACGTATTTTGTGTCCAAGCAGTAAATAATTTGATACACACTAAACTATGTGGCAGACAAATACTTATATTATCTATTATTTCTGTAAGAGCATCATATTTATAATGCACAATTAAATAACTGTATTGAGAAATATGAAACCCACAAAAAACAATTGTCCAAAAAATTTTATGTAAAATCGAAAATGATGCTCCCGGCCATGACGCAGCAAAATAAAGACCATATTTTACAGACCGACTAATTGTATTAATTGACGCCATTTTGACAAATTTATTGACATCAAAGCTTAAATTTTCTTTAAAAGACTTTCATAAATGTGAAATATACAATTTTGAAAATAATACCACTATGAATAAATTTAG